CCCCAAAACCCCAAAACCCCAAAACCCCAAAACCCCAAAACCCCAGTGTGTGGATTAGCAATTGAACTCTTTAATCTTCCTTGAGTTTATCCAGCCCTAACTCTTCTCTAAATGGGATTGGCCTTCTTCTGCAATTTATTAGAGCCCTGAAAGTTTTGATGTATCTACAGTTATGCCCAAGACTTACGGGTAAAGAAACCAGTGAATGTTACCAATAGTTTTAAGGTACTCAACCTCATCTTGATCTACTAGAGGATCTACTCTGGAAGCTGATGGTATTGGTTTGTCCTTGTATAAATCCTTAGCTACAGGATTAGTGTTTAGTTACTGTTCTCAGATTTACTGAATACTTTCTGGGCAAACTCTTCCTGCTTCTTCATTCATTTCTCATAATTCTGTTTAATTTCAGCGATTGTCTTGCCATCTTCTTTAGATTTAGCCAATCTTTTGGCCTTCGTTAAAGTTTCTTTAGCTTCAGAGAAGTTCCCCAGTTCAAGATGAGCACTTGCTCTTCTAATTAATGCTTTGAAATTATCTGGATCAATGAGCAGAACTTGGTCTGTCATTGAAATCACCTTTTGATATTGCTTGACTTTTAAAAGACAGATAGACATATTGTTCAACAGAGGTACCTTAAGCTCAAAATTTACTTTTCTCTCATTTTCTATTGTTTGATCTGGGAAATTGAGGCCATAAAGAGCATTGAGATACTTATCAAGAGCCTATAAATTTGATTATCCAGAGTTACCTTGCCATAAAGCTTGTCAGCGTAATATTGATTGGCTTCATTTTTGGATTGTTCTACCCACTCATATCTCTCTTCAAAAGTTTTGTCCTTTAGGAACTCTTGTACTTGGGCAACTTCATTGACATGATTGGCTGTGTCAACCAATTGCTCTTTACTTGCCTTTTCATATCTTTTGTCTCCTCCAGGAGTATCTTTGATGGAGTGTATCTCACATCCTGACTCTGCAAGGATGTCATACATCTTATCTGCCTCCATTACTAAATTTATCAATCTCCACGTGCAAATTTGGGGTTTTGGGGTTTTGGGGTTTTGGGGTTTTGGGGTTTTGGGG